GCCTGGAACAAGCTACTCAGCCATAGTGCTGAAACTAACTCTGTGGGATCCCTGGGAGAAACATCTGGAAAATATTCTGGGATCAATTAGCTGCTAGCAGCCAAACAACCAGGATGGGCCAAATGATTTCTTCTCATTCACAGGGACTTTTATATTATTTTTAAAATACTAAATTAAGATGGTTAATACCAATTTATTGTTTAAAGAACAGTTATGACTACAACAGAATTTTGGAGAGAAAAAATAATCACAGAATTTTTACCATGAAGTAACTGTGTATTTATTAGTCTTTGGTACAACAAAAACTAAAATTTGTTGTAATAAATATTTGACATACCTTCTTCATATTTACATTTTTGAAGTAGAAGGACCATTTTGCTAGTGTGAGTGCAAGCAGAAAGACAAGTGTCCTGACAGGAACTGGACCATAACATGACATGAAATAGCTTTCTCCTGTAAATTGGAGGGATTAAGTGATATCTTCATATTACTGGGCTAATATCAACAAAATCCAAAATTCCTATGACTTTGGCACTCGCACACAGGATCAAGCCAGGAAGGCCTGTGAGGTGAGTGTTTCAAAGTTGTCAAAGTGGAATTGGAGCAAAAACAGGAAAATGCAGCTCATTAGTCCTCGATGCATTAATTCTTTGGCTGTTTAACAGATTAAATGATGTTTACAGTTCTGTCGAGAATTAGTCGAATCTTGAATGAATTTAAGACAATATTACAGTTGGGCAGCTGAGATCTGTACCATATATGGACTGGTAGAGCAGTTGTGGTGGCTGATCTGTGTAGTTCAGAGACTCTGGGGCAGCAGGACACTGGTGTGCATTAACCTGGAATTGTCCTTGGCTGTCCCCGTTTCCATTGTTCCACTGTCCTTCTCCTTTCGAGAGTACTCCAGAACTCACAGATTTGATTATAAATGTTGTATAGCAAGCAAGTGTAATACAATGTTTTATATCCTTTTTGGAATATACTAGACTTACATCGTTATAAAGGTTGTCATAACTTTGTCCAGTAGTTAAAGTATGAAACAAAGCAAAAGAAATATTTCAGGGTTATTTCCTACAAAAAGGGAAAATGCATACACATTTTGGAAGACATTAAGTAACAGTCAGTGTGGGAAGTGTAGTAAATTACTCTCTCAGTGCAGCAGACTGGGACATGTGAAGTGTCATCTCGGGGTAAAAATCACTTTGTTGGCTGGGATAACTTAAGCTTCTCATTAAAATGTAAAGGAGTTCAATAAGAATGTGATATACTGCTTGGCTTTCAATGCATTCTCTCTTTTATTTATCTAGGCGCAGAAAATTATTTGACTTGTTTACCATTAAAACCCATCTTCTGTGATAGCAGAACTAAAAGCTCAGCTATATTGCAGAAAGAGAGGATCAGATGGTTGAACTGTGTGACTGACTGGAACAGAGTATTTTTCATTTATTTCCCCCCACTGTGTCAGCTGCGGTGTGGCAGCATAGCTGGTAAACTCATCGCATGTCACCATATTTCCATAAGCAGCCGTATCTTTTTAAACTGCGGAGGTTGTAATTGGTTTCTTTCATAACTGTGTTCTTGGTGTGTTGGTTTGTTTGTGTAATGGGCACAAAAGTTGTACAGATCTGAAACTCACTCCTAATGCACATCAGTCCATATCAATCCCAATGTCACAAGTTGAAACTTTCAGTCTAGAAATTCATTATTTAAGTCTGGGACATCCCAGTAGCAAACTCTACGGAAAGTTCCCCAGATTATGATAAATAATTGGCCAAACGTCAGCGGGATTGTGTGGGTTTGAATAAGCGTCCCTGCTGGCCGTACAGTCGAGGTAACTGTGAGCCATCACGTCTCCTCATGGTGTGCTAACTCTCCGGTTGGCACTGGGGAAACATGCACCTTGAAGAGTGGTGCATTCCTCTGACGAGTGCGTGTTTTGGAGGAAATCATCCACAGTCCTTATCCTACCTGTCCTAGCGTGATGCCTATGTCCATCGAGCCATCTTGATTAACAGTTGTCGTTTCCCAATTGAAATTTCTGGAAAGAATTTTTAAAAACGCCGTCACGTCGGTGAAAAAGAACATCTGGCCGGGCCCTTAAAAGCTCAGAAAAAAGGGCAAGGTGCCGCTTATATTTATATCCATTTGCACAGTTGGGCATTTTACTGTAGCAATCTGCATGAAGTACCTTGTTGATTGGTATGACAGAAGTGCCCCACCTGGAATGTGAATCAACAGTCTTCCTGTTATGAGCCTTGAGCCCTAACCACTACCCCATACTGCTGCCTAATAATGTTTTGTTATGGTATGGACAATTTTTTTGGACTCAGCCAAATACCTGCATCTCCTATATTGCACCAGGAGAAGGAGAAGCTATGGATTTGCTCTATCACATGCCCAGCTGTCTCCACAGTGCCTTTCAGGTGTTTAGTGCCAGTTGGAAGAACCACACACCACTCATTAAAATCGCTGCAAGCTAGTAAGTGCAAATTGCAGGAGTCACTGTTTCACCGAAAATTGACTGACAGAGTTTTGCATGACAAATGCCCATCCTACAGCAGTTGTGCTTTACCAAATGTACACCAGTGTTTGGAAACACTAAAAAATTATTGACAAACAGTAGGCAAGATAAAAGGTGAAAAGCTTATAGTGTATCTATATGGCCACAGACACTATGGGGTGAATGTGAGATAATTTATGCAACCATTCGAATTGTACCTCTCCTCCTGGTGGCACTGAAGCCTTACTTGTCCTGAGTGATAGAAAGTATAATAATCATTAGTTTAATTGATTTCAACATTCTTAGGAAAAGGACAGGTACTAGGCATCATACTGACATCTTAAGTGTACAGTAAAAGCTTTATCCTCTTTCACATTAATGGGGTTTCCCTGGCAGTAAATCACAACTGCCCATTTCTAGTATTGCTGAAATCTTTTAGAAGGGGACTGAAAAATTCTGCTCCACAATGTGAGAAACTCTCTTTGGAATCAGGCTTTTAAACCACGTGAAAATGTGTGACTGTGTTGGACATCAAGTGGACTGATCCAATCTTGGAATGCTAAGGAGTTTTATTAGCCTCTTGTATTTGCAGAATGAAATCTTTCCTCCTTTTAGTGTTCAAATTGCTTCCACTGATGCAGGAGTGTTTTTTTCAAACTCATTCCTTTGATAGTCTAAACCAGAGGTCACCAAGCGACTGAAAAGGAGTTTTCCTGACCTGCGACGCTGTTAAAGCAAATGACACAGCTTGAACTGCTAGTGCTTCTATTTGATCTTTCCCCCTGTTATATAATTAAAACTCCCTTCTCCAGTGTTAATTTTTTCTGCTAGGGTACCTGGTTGTTGTATTTTTTTTTTTACTCTTGAAAGAGACTTAAGGGTTAACAGGATTTTGAGTAAGACTTGTTAAGTCAATCTAAACAACCATTAGCTGGAGAGCAACTTTTTTTTTTTTTCTGGGTACTTTTCTGTTTTGCATTATTGCCATTACCTTAATGTCCTCTCGTTTTCTAATCATCATTTTGTGCCCAAGTAGGCATACCGCTGTTATTAATATCAACATTTGAGTCTTAATCCTTCATGGGGTGTTTTTGCCGTTCAGGTGTTTGTCATTTATCTTTGTTAATATTTCTAGTGGCTGCCAGCTGGGGACAACTAGTCAGCTCTGAAATTGGGCAGAGGAACGGCATGAGAATTTTATTACAGAGTTGCCGGGCGACTTGGTCCTGAAAAGATTCATTATAGAAGATGTGCCACTTTGTTTCAGCAGACGTCTTTACCCACCACTGCCACCACCACAACCGCCTGCCCCCCTTCATCTCCCTTAAAAAAATACAAAAAAACTGACTTTATTTAAGACAAGGAGGCTTTGTTTTATCATGCGAAAGGCTTGTGAAATTCTTCAGCTCTCAGTGGGTTAACAGGGGAACAGGAGCCGAGTTGTAATTGGCCTATTTAAGGTATTTTGCATGTGAATGGTGTTCTAGTGAAGCATTACTAAGTCTGTTGTGAGCGGCACAGTGATTAGAATTTAGATTAGGGAAAACACTTTCTGTACTTTATCAACTACACTAATTAGTTCAGTTGCTGGAAGTTAACTTGAAGTATCGATAAAGTTGGAATTTTACTTTTCCTCTCTCCCTCTCACTTCGTTCAGACTCTCGAGCCAGTCCTCTGCAGGGAAAAGTCCGGCACTTTTACAGAAATTAACGAACCAACATGCACTTTTAGTTGCTGAATAATTTAACTTAATTAAGAGAACAATGTTTTCTGTGCAAAGTTTAATCAGGAGATATGCTCGCTGTGGGTAAGTGTACTTTCACAATAAAGAAAGGCAGCCCAGTCAAGCAATATATTTTACACCGTGCTGTCAGATTCCAGATTTGCAGGTATTTTAGGGGATCAGCAAAGCGTGTTTTCTTTTACTAAAATGTAAGAGCTAAATGTCAGTAAATGTAAGAACTGAACGTGTTGTTTATGTAGCAGTGCTTTTTTGTTTTACATTAAAAGAGTCCTTTAGTGAGATTTTACATCATCTTCCTTGATGTGGGGGAATTAGACCAAAAATTAAAGAAATTTCTTACAGTAGTATGGAATAAATATATGTGAATGTCTATGAGATGCAGTATGTGCAGTGACCACTTCAAGAATTTGGAGGGTTCTGTCTCTATAAATTACACAAAATTCAGTATGACCTTTTTTTGTATATTAAAAATAGAAAGAAAAAACTGAATGTATTGAAATGTTTGTGTTTACTGTTTAATAAGAAAATTAAAAAATGGTGGGATTTATTTTAGCTTGCTTTAAACAAAAATAAACATTTTTAAATGTATTTGTATAATTATTTAGATGCACGTGTCTGTGTAGTCACACTTCTCCTGTTCTTGGAAATACACCTGTAAAGCTTGTGAGGACACTTGGGAAGGTCAGAATCATTCTGGTTGTTTTTTTTGTTTTTTTTTTTTCTCGAGGCTCATGTATGTTTGTCTTGTGTTTTCAGCCGAGCCTCCTGGGAGGAGAGATGGGCTTGGGCAGTCCGGGGGCTATTTCACCTACGAAGCCAGGCTCGCAGTATTATCAGCACTACTCCAGTAATAATCCGCGGCGGAGACCACTGCACAGCGACTCAATGGGTGAGCTCTGGGGCTTCCGAGCTGCATTTAGCTCTTCACCCTTCTCCTTTCCCACGTATCCTATCCCCTGCTGCCCTCCAGAGCAGGCTTGTAGCTGACCAGAGACCTTTAGTCAGGTACACACTGAAGACAATTTCAGAGTCTGTGCCCTTGGAGTTGTTATAACCTTCTGCCGTTCAAGCAAACTAAGTGTACAGCTACACAATCCTTATAAAACCTTTCCTAACAATCTGGATTTGCTGTTGTTCTCCATTTTCCTGTTTGTGTTTGTTAACTCCAGATACTCATCTTTACCAATTATGTTTCTGCTGGGAAAAGACATTGGTTCTAAATGTTACTAATACTACATATATTTTATTTTAGTACTAAATATATTTGTATTCACAAATTCACTAATACTCACCTATAGATAGATTTCATGAACTACATACTCTGAGTATTTTCAAAAGTGTGCTATTAAAAGCAGTTTCTTTATATTACCAAGTTAAATCATAATTACAGATTTTATTCCTCATATATAGCATTGTTGCACTGCATTTTTAATTTTCCTTGAGGTGCTTTAGTACCGTAGATCACACGAAATGTACTTTTAAAGCCCCATCTCATTTGTAACATTTTCTACTTTCTTTTGTGAAATAAATGCTGTTTTGTAATGATTCCATTTAATGTTAATAAATTCATTAATACTAAGTTTTACATATAATGATTTTTTTTCTTCTTATTTTTAAGCTTGATTTTACGGAGCCAGAGAATACATTATAATCCCACATAAAATACTCATTTATGGTGAAGTAACTGAACCTTTCAAATGTTGCATCAATTTTTAGTTAAGACTTCCTTTTGAACATTTGCAGTCCTCATATTTCCTGTTTTAGTCAAAAAGCTCTTCCGATATAAGGGGCTCTCCAGCTACTGTGTGCCTGAACAGGATTCTGAAAGAAAAAAACAGGCCTTGATGTGACAGCCTTGAGGGGCTTTCAGAGCAGTTTTTACATTCCTTTTCATTGAAAGTAAAAACGGCAAGTTCTTCCTTCTTTTCCCAATGTAGCAATAAGAAACTTTCGATCGTTTTTTGTTCTGATGAAATAGTTCAAAAAAGGTTCTGCTAAAAAGAAACAATAAATTTCTTTGGATAATAAAGAGCAGAGATATTCTCTGTTTTTTTACATTCTTGCTCAGTTTGAATTCAGCCTGCCTTTGTCTGTAATAAGTGAGACTTGCCAGTATCGTTTTTATCCTTATGTCCCTGCTCACCATGCTGCCTGTATTTTGCTTTGCATTTTTAACAGCTTTGTACAGCCATGTGTACCCCAGAGTTGAATAAACACCAGCAACTTGCCCCTTATAAATCATTCTTCGTAATTGCCTTTTTTTTTTTCCTATTCAGAGGTCCAGACAAAGAAAGTCCGGAAAGTTCCCCCAGGTTTGCCATCCTCAGTAAGTTTAATGTTTTTATTATTTCACTTGTTCATTCTGGTATTTTTGATGTCAGACATTCACTGAGTACGTTCTACGGCACTGTCGTTTGGCTTATTTTATCAGTGTCACCACTTCAAACAATGTGGATGATGAAAGCAGAAATTTCTAGAGAATTTAAATGATTGAAAATAGGGTCTTTGCCTTAAAAATAAATTATTCCCTGTATAACAGTGGTGTCAGATTTTAAAACCACTTTCACCTTTATCGGCTCGATCCCAAGTACAGCTGAAGTACAGTACACCCATTGTCATTGAACTTAGTGATGTTGGATATCTTCAACTTCGTTAGCGGCTGCAGAGTCAGACTGTGGTTTGTGTTGAGCTTTGCCGTGGCGCGGCTTCCTTGTTTATTGTCCTCTGTTTCACACGCGCTCGTGAACCCACGCAAACAAAATCCATAGTAAATACGCAACTCTGAATAAAAAAATAAGCACCAGTCCAGCTTGTTTTGTGCAGTGAGTCTGATCGGTTATCTTCAGTCATTGTTCCTGTGTCATCGAATATCGACCTTAATGTTAGGCCGAAAGAAATTTCAATAAATGAGTAAAGTTGACCTTCAGCGCCAAAAGCTGGTTACATTTGTCTTTGCAATGGAAACTGGATGGAACCAGTTGGCTTTGTGACACTAATATCTGGAATCCACTTTAATCACATCACATGAGCGGCTAGTTTATGTGTTTGTTTATTTTTATTTATTAATTTCGCTATAACTGTGGCAACCATCGGAGTGGGCTAGCTGTAATCCTCGGATTTAGATCATAAGCTTGCATCACAGTTTTACTCGACGATGGTGAGGATTTTGCGAAAGTGATTGTTATAGATGAGCCCGGTTCCCTATCCTAATCCAGCTTTGTGTTGGCTGTTTAACGTCCAAAGTAGCTGGGTTTGATTTGAAGTTATGTTTCTGTTTGTTTTGTATATGCCACAAAATCCAGACCTTCAGAAAATAACATGTGCATTTGTGTGTTTCTTGGGGAAGGCTTTAAAATGTACACTATTCTCATCTACTGGACATTAGTATTCTGGCCTGTGATGTAGCATGAATATTATTGCTGGCTAACCAGAGCAAGATAACTACCTCTCTTCAGTATTACCAAGAGTAACATCTTGGGCTCTTGGGATCTCTGAATTCCCTATGCATATGCGTGTGTAGGCTTTATCTTTTTAAATTTTAAATTTGACATATTTGGACGTTCATAAACACCCTTGATTGCAATTTGGTGTTTTCGGAAACTAGTCAATTTATCCCATTTCAAACTTAGCAGGTGGGCAATAAAAGCAAGGTTTTGACATTGTTTTATTGCATTTGATTCTTAGAAGCTGTTATTTTATTTGGTGTCAGTAAGCTTCTTAACATTGTAAGAAACACATTTTATGAAAACATTTTTGTATTTATTTTGAATGGCGTGTTAAAGCTTTCTGAGTATAATAAATAAACTGTACAAATTAATCTATTTTTTTTTTTAAAGAATTGAAAAGTAAAATCAACCATTAGAAATGATTCATTCATGTTGAAGAAACTCAAATCAATAAAATATTAGGATGAATGTTAGGGGATAAAATCAGAGTTTTCTTCCTTTTAATATTTAAAGCAAAGTAACATTTTATAAGTTGAAAAGACCTGATTGTGCTTTTTGTCTGAATTAACATGTTCATTTATATTAAGTAATTATTAATTGAGTATGAAATATAATTCTGCTTTGGCTTTAATTTTGCAATGTCGTATACTGGCTCCTTTGTCAGTCTTACTGGAAAGCACTGGTTATTTTAGGTTAGTTTAATTACAGAAAGTAAAATATCATGAATTGTATTTAGTTATTTTTAAAATGATTAAGAGACCAGTGGCCAACATTACTAGATCATATGTGTTTTTTCAAAGTTGAACTTGCATTTCTAATAACAGCATGGACAAAAATAATAGCAGAAATGTTATCAATAAATTAAGTCTTTCAGAAATTATTTTTTAAAAAGATGTAATTATTTTAAGGCAGCAAAGTAAAAAATGGATATGGCTTTTTTTTCACTCACACTGACCTAAGTTAATGTAAAATCATGCCACTATTTATTTGTGAAACAGGTTAAAATTATTTTACAGAGAAATAGGAGGATTCTTTCAAATTGATTCACTTTCACATATCAGCTCTATATATAAAGGCTATATTCACAATGGGGCTAAAAAATGCTTTTACTGTAGTTGAAGTACTAGTAAGCAGCTACATGAGCTAAACAGTGAGGACAGAAATATATAGATTTACATCTATAGGACCTAGGACAAGGAGTATGTGGACGTTAGTGCATTTTCTGCCATTCTTGGCTCAAGAATTGTGTCTTTCTAAACTATAGACATTTTGCAGCAGGATTTGAAAAAATGTCCCCTATGAAGCCTTGTCTTTTATCTTTGGTGTCACTTTCTAGAACAGAGACCTAAAACGTTGAACACAATATTAAATATTGGATATTAGGACAGAGTGTCTGCCATGTCTGATCTTCCTGACATGCTGTTGTCATTTGAAACAAAGCCCCTTGTTACTTTTTTCTCCTTTAAATCATTTTCCTAGTTCACAAACCATTCTATTGTAAGCCAAAATGTTTGCAAAGTTAATTTACTTAAACTACAATTATCCTGTCACTTCAGGGAAACCTTGAAATAATGTGGTAATCAAAAGGAAATTAGTTCACATTAGGCGGAGTGCAGTTTCTCTTGTAAATGTTTTTTTTTCTACATTGGCCTTTTCTTATCACATATGTTATAATGCAGGATAAATGCTGTATGTTGACAATTTTTGTCGCAGCATGCAAAACAAAAACTGCATTACTGTCACTGTGGTTTGAAGAGTCGTTTAAGTAACATTGCGGTACACTTGTCACTTTATTTGTGGGGTTTTTTTTGTTTCACAGTTCCTTTTGTAGATTGTGATTAGATTTTTGGGTGTAAATCCCCCTAACTAAAAAAAAGGAGGCAAAATCATTTTTTTTTATCTTAAAAATAAAGTGGATTGATGCTCTTACTGTTCACACCCATGTGCTCAAATCCATAAATTTTATTTTTATTATCACGTTCTTATTAGAAGTTAAACATAACGGACATTACCAGATGTACAATTTTATTTTTGCCCTATGTTATTCTGGGCTTTGTTATCCAGAAAAGTGAGCAGTGAAACAATACTGGACAGAACATTTGTTACGTTAATGTTGTAATGATTATTCTATGCTTTGAAATTCTTTTCTATCTCAGTTTTAATAGCAAATTCAGTTTATTTCATGTTTTGATTATATTGTAGGACTGAGGCCGTGACTGTTTCAGATCTGTTTCCAGTTCTGAGTAGTACTACTTGATTTTTGTTAGAAATTAATTCATTTAACTGGAGAATTATTATCTGAATTGAAAGTGCCGGCATTTTGAACTCCTCAATCCAGGTCATCTCCTTTTGAGTTAGTATGTGTTTGGCTATTTCTTCATGATGGCTATTTTAGTTCCTCTGAATTAATATCTGATTTTGTTTAAGGTAGACAGCGTTAATTAAATTAAGCTGGGTCTACCAGAAGGCACAATAGGGATGCATTCTCACGTGGGCCGTGAGGCTTTTTCCTGAGCTTTTCTGCCCCCTTCAGGCTCTTTTTGGTAAAGCGTTTGGTCTGGATTTTTGGGGGGATTTCACTCTTAAGCTGGTGGAAAGCTCGAACAGTTTTCTGTAATAACATGTACTCTAATTTAACGATCAAACATGCAAGAATTCTGTTTACTTATTGATATCTTTTAAACAAAGGCACTTCCTTCAGTTAGCATGAATACAGTTGGAGGGCTGACATTTCTGCCAATTAGTGGAAGTTGTCACCCACTTAATTCCTTTCAGAGCATTTCTTGTTTCCGCTGTCTCGCTTCATATGTTAAAAATATAACTATGCTTAACATCTCCTTGATACACACACGCAAAATTACTTTTAAATTCTACATCCTGAGACAAAATATTAAACAGATATGAACATGTTTAGGTATAACGTGCCCTGTTTTTATGACAAAGACAAATTGCAAGTTTATGCATTTTGAAAATCATGGACACCGCAGGTTTATGTGGCTGGGATAGTTTATTGACGTTTAACTGTGCTCTTGTGGTTTCCGCAATGCTGTCAGCATATGTCGTGCAATGACATTTTCAGACTAGAGAGGCTTGCGCACACACAGCCTTAAATTCACGGCACTTGGCTTGTCCCTAGTTCCCTAAACATCCAGTAGGCAACATAAACTTTATTGTTCGCTAGCCCAGCTGCCCCCACTGTCTCACAGTTGCTTTGCTAAGAGATATAGAGGGCAGGGGGGAAAGAAAATGGAGCCTCAAAGTTCAGGTTGAGTTTCCTGAAAGTGGAAGAAGAAAGCAAGAAGAGGGGAGTGCTTCAGGTCTATTTTCAGGATGTGTGGATTAGCAGATATCAGGCGGGCTGATGGCTTGGCTGGCAACCAAGGGAAGTGAAAAATGATTCTTCTCTTTACCTCCCTTCGTTTTCTTTCATGTAGCTGGGAACTGCGTAAAATCGTGAAGTGACATATAGAAAGGCTTGTGCCATATAGAAAGCCTTGTGCCTAATTCCCATGGACCCTGCTGTGAGAGCCAGTGCCCCTTGTGGAGCTAAAGAGATGGTTATTATTTATCCCCCTGCCTTTCAGTCATTCTAAAACAGGGCCCTAAAAGGAATCACTTGACACATCGCTAATCGCTTTGGTATATTGCAACAGATTTTAATAACTGCAGACGGAAATGGATTTGGCTGTCTCTTCACCTCATTTTTTTTTTCTTTTTGCTTTTGCTTTTCCTCAGTGGGTTCAGCGCCAATGCGAACGTTTGACCCGGTTCTAAACCCAACTGTCACGGCCTTCCTAAATTCCTAAATTGTAACCTTTTTAGAATTTGGTCATTTGTGTTGGTCACCGCGCCACAAAGCGAATGGCTGAAGCATAGAGCA